AAATGAGTGCAAGAAATAATAGGCAAAAAGGAATGGAAATAGCAGTATAAGCAACTCTTCCAAGGAATTTTGCTGAAAAGGCAAAGATTTTTAAGGTAGGGGAAATAATTGTTTGATTATTAGTAGAGGAAATCATCTTAGAGAGTAGAAAATGGATGTAGGAGAAAGGCCAACGATTGCGAGAGTTATATCCTTGAATAAGAGATTCAATTTACTAAGCAAGTAGAGAGACTGACCTGTAGATGTTGGCTGTTCATCTGTAAAAACTGCTGGGAAGATAGATTGTGCGATGTGTGTGCTGGTAGAAAGCATATGTGGCTGCACTTGGTCTAGGATTCCCATGTAGCAGGAAAACAGTCTTTCATCAGCGAAGAGTGATGATGTGCAGGAGTGACACAAGACAGGGAAAGCACGTGGCCAGGGAAATACCCCGATTGCTGAGGAGTCTGAGTCAAAGGTGGGAGCAGGTGGCATTGCTGAGTGAGGTGTTTCCATAGTCATGTTCACATCCATGAGCACACACAAAAATTCAGTGAAGGGTTAATGTTAACTCGGAATCAGCTGACAAGCATGGAAAAGTGATGTAGAGGGGCAGAGGAATTGACGGAAGCAAGGCAGTGGTTGTAGCAATTGCCTGTGGAGTTTAAGTTGGTCAAGGAAGGCAGATTCCATGGGGATGAAGAACAGGGAAAGAGGGTAGCGTCGTCAGAATGAAAGGCTGAAGGGTTCTGGGTGTAGTGGAGTAAGAGAATGAACAGGAAAGAGGGCAATGGTCCAGGAGTGGGTTGCAGGCAACGGCAATTTTGTAAGTGTTGTAGCTATTAGATAGTAGAGGTCATGAGGGTTACTAGTGAACGTGAGTCCAAAGAACTCAAGCACCCTGAACTGAGGGTATTGCAGACTGGAGGTTTTCCTTACCAGTGGAAGGGCATGTATTAGCAGCCGTTCAAAGTCCAAGCTAAATATTTATCACTGTAAGATGACTACTCTCTAGAAGTTTAAAGATTGTGCTATTTAATCATAGAACAGAGTAATTATTCAGTTGTGTGTATTTTATATAATGTGGAAAAATAAGATGAAAATTATATAAATATCTAATTTACAACAAAGGCTTCAGTACCCATTTAAAATGAGGAAGAATAATCATTTCACAAAATATTTATTCTTCATGAATGTACTTTTTAAGTTATCCCCCCCCCAAAAAAAAAATTACTGTGCCTTGGGCTGGAGATGTGGTTTGGTGGTTGGTCCCCAGCACCTTCATGGGCAACTCAGAACTGCCTCTAACTACAGTTTCAGGAGATCTGACACCCTCTTCTGGTTCTATGGGCATCTGCATGCATGCTGTGTACATAAACCCACACATAAAAATTAAAAATTAAATTAATATACACTTATATGCATATTCATAAAAACATTAAAGAGGACAACTAGTAGAGCTGTTTTGAACTCTTAGGACTTATTTAACATCAGAAATTCGTGGTCAAGTCCTTGTGACCTCAGTCTAACTGGGCTCTTCCTGCAGCACACCTGACACCAGTGTTTGAGTAGTGTGCTTACCAGAACCAGTTGTTTACCCTCGGACCTGTGTGGGCCAGTATGCCTGTTATTGTAATTATGTACATTAATTAAAATAGTACATGTACTGATGAAACAAGAATGAGGGCAGAGACTTGTTTTCGGTGACCTAAGCTACATTAAATTAGGTGGGAATGAGGCAGCTGTAAAATATTTGGGAGGCAGGCATAATGGAGAAGGTGCCTGTACTGCCAGTTCCCTCAGCTTTTTGTTTTCTTTACTTTTATTTACTGTTTATTTATTTTGGCATTAGAAATAAAACCCAGAGCCTTGTGGATGCTAGGTAAGCATTCTATCACTGAGCTACATCTCTAGCCCTTTGTGAGATCTTGCTCTTTTTTTAAAAGTAGAAACAGATAGTTGCATTTAGTGTGGTTTTACTAAAAACGTCTCTCAATTATGGAGAGAACTTGCATTAGGAATTAGTGAATTGGCTGGACAGTGGTAGCACATGCCTTTGATCACAGCACTCAGGAGGCAGAGGCAGGTGGGTCTCCAGGTCAGTTTGGCCTACAGAGTGAGTTACAGGACTGTTTCACAGAGAAACCCTGTCTTGAAAAACAAAACAAGACAAAACAACAACATCAAAAAAGAAATTGTGAATTAATGTACATTTGCTTTACTTCTTTTTTTTTTTTTTTTTTTTTAAGCCCAGGCTGACTTGGAATTCTTGTTGACTGTAGTGCTAGGTTCCATGAAGACATTTCTACTCAAATGTATTGTGTACTTTGGCTAACCCATTTCTGTCCTCTATCCTGCAGAGTTAGTTCCCTTCCTTTTCTCAGATAGTTCTGCTCCTACTTTCATGTTATATGTTAATTGTTTAATGTTTAATTTTAAGCTAGAAGTCACATTTCAAGTATGTGTCAACCTTAGGTATGTATCATCCTTAGTGATTTCCTTCTTTAACTGACATTCCCACTGATGTAGTAACTATAAATCTGTACATAAAGGCACTATGGTATTTAACTTAGCAGTCAAATTACATTTTCATTTTATATGGTATGTTAGTATTTTGTTTGCCTTTTTGTTTTAAAAATTGGTCTTGTTTTATCTATCAAGTACCATCTTATTCCCAAAGGAATTTTAGGTAGCAGCTGGTAATACATTTAATAAATAGATTTGTGAAGGAGTGGGTGGGTTATGTGATGTGAGTGGAGGACAAAGGTGAACTTTGGACATCATTCCTCTATTTTGCTTTTAATCCCAATACTTGAGAGGCAAAGGCAGGCAGATCTCCGTGAGTTTGAGACCAGCCTGGTCTACAAAGCGAGTTCTAGTACAGCCAGGACTGTTACACAGAGAAAGTGTGTCCCAAAAACAACAAAGTTTAGATTCATTTATTCTTTGTGTATGTGAGAGCTTCTCCTGCATGTATAAATATGTATTATGTGCATGCTCGGTGCCCAAGAAATTCATAAGAGAGGTCAGAATCCCTGGAACTGGAGTTAAAATGTGAGCCATCATGTGGGTGCTTGGAACAGAACCTCAGTCCTCTTACAAGAACAAGTGCTTTTAATTGCTGAGCCACCTCCAGTCTCCTGCTTTTGCTTTTAACATAATGTAACTCAGTAATATACTGTAAAGAAGAGGAATAAGTATAGTGTGGGTCTTTGGTCTCCTTACCAAGAACATACTGTCCTGTGTTGAATCAGATGGTACTTGGGTGGTTCACCTGAGGAAAATGGTGTCCTTCTGCTACAAGCACAGAAGATTGAAGATTGTGATGAACATCAGTAAGGTCTTCATGGTCTGACCATGAGCTTTGTTGGAGCACATGAGCCCACCAAGGCCTTGTGCTGGGTGTAAAGAAGGGGTTGGTCAAATCAAGATGGCCACACAAGTGGAAGGTGTTTCTTGATGTTATCTCAGAAATGAGAAAGGGTTGCACACAATCTGTATCTTTGTACAAAGTAAAATACACTTACTATATATTAGCGGGTGTGTAAAATGGAGAGGAAGAGACCCAGCATGCTTCAGGAAGATAAACAGGAAGGAAGCCACCATTTGTTTTTAAACCAGTTGGAAAAGTCCAAAAAAGATGGTATTGCAAGAAAAAAAAAAAAAAGAAAAGAAAAAAAAAAAGAAAGACCAGAGTTGATTAGAGTTATATTCCAGGCTTAGATGTCCTGAGAGGCAGCACTGGGAAGACTCATCAGGGTGGGGCTGTTTCAGCTTGCCTGGTCATTGGGTCAGTGCTAGATGTGTCTGTCAAATAACAGATTCATATTAGTGCAGTTACACAAAAAAACAAGATCAGTTCAAGACTACTCATTGTTTTACTGCTTAAAAGGGGAGACAAAAATTAACTGTTAGAGCAATATGCAATGCTATGTTGTTATAATGGCGTGAACACGGCACTTTAGAAGGATAGAGCTTGGAACGGTTGTGTGTCCGTGGGAAGGAATTCTTAGATAAAAGTTCAGGCTGAGTAGGAGAAGTGGGAAGAAATTCATTAGACAGTTGGGAGGGGAGCTTTCTAAACACAGAAGGGTGGGTGAGTCCACATGCCATGCTTTGGGATTGTGTATATCAGGATATTAGTTGTAAGAAAGATCAGCAGAGTGTGGTTGCATGTGTCTGTGGTCCCAGATACTTTGGAAGCTGAGGCAGGGGAAACATTTGAGTCTGGAGTTTGAGACCAGGCTGGGATACACACAGGAAGATACTGTCTCAAAAAGAAAACAAAATTATTACCCTAGTTGTTGTAAAGAATGTGGTTTTGAGGGAAAATACACCCCAAGCATCGTGGAATTTAAAAAGTTATTTTGAGGACTGATCACTGAGTGGTGAATGGGAATAGAGAGGATGAATGGAAGAAGTAATACCAAAGGGATTTGGCATGCATTTGAAAAAGGGATTATGAGGAAGAAAAAGGAGCCATGTGCTGTTGTCATGCCAGCTGGCTGGGTGGATGGTCTCCATGTTCATCAGTGTTGGGATGAGAGAGAAAACAAGAGTTTAGGACCAAAAAGGGAGGATTCTGTGCTTGGTTTCTGGCAAATGAGTGTGAAAGGCCTGTGGGACAGCCCAGTACCCAGTAGGTATAAATTCACATAGATAGATGTAGCCTTCAAAAAGATTGTTTAATCCACACAAGAGTGCCTAGGCCTGGGTCCTAGAGAACACATTTCGTGGCCCATGGTGAAGAGCTGTGTGCTCTGCTGTTTTGTTGTATTCTTTGTTCTCCCCTGTCCAGCAATGGAGACAGCTGAGACTTGGCTGTACTGATCAAGTGTGCTTGCTCTTCAGGCATACTATTTTAAATGGCTTTTATGTGCATAATTTTCTTACCTTCAACTTAAATCTGCAAATGTCATTTCATTGGACTTTTGGATTTCACTATGTGAATTATTATTGTACAGAAAATGGTGGTATTTGTCAGTCTTATTAGTCCCTTTAATTGTTCTTTCCCTCTACAGGAGCTGATGCAACAGAATGGGATTGGCTATGTGTTAAATGCCAGCAACACCTGTCCAAAGCCTGACTTCATACCCGAATCTCACTTCCTGCGAGTCCCTGTGAATGACAGCTTTTGTGAGAAAATTCTGCCGTGGTTGGACAAGTCTGTGGATTTCATTGGTATGTAGCTTAAGATGAGGTACAAGCCCTTTGAACCAGGGCCACAGATAGGTGTAGCTATTCCCTCCCCACCCCTCTTAGAGACCTCAAATCTGAAAGCAGCATGTGATTTTGCTTACTGTTTTAATGGTCAAGGTGACGTGTCCCATGCTGCCCCTAAGGGATTGGCCTTGTGACCTGCTAGCTAACTTTTAACAACATCAAGGTTAAGCCTTTCAGGATCTGAGATTATGGGTTGTAAGTATTTAAAAATCAGTTCAGCTTTCAGAACTAACCCTTACCCTTCTACTTTTCAAATCCTTTGAAAACATTTGGTGAAGCTGGCTGATATTCCCTCTTACTTGGTGCTGTGTTTTCCCTGGGAAAAGTCAAGTCATGTGAAAACTCCCGTTGCATATAAAGTCCTTTTATATGCTTCAAGGTTCCCTGAGCCTCAGTCCATGCATCAATAGTTTCAAGTAGTTTTGGATTCAGTGAAATACTAGCACATGTTTAATTAGAATACAGTTCACAGTGAAGAATTTGAAAATAATCATAAGGAAAATTCTTCAAACTAATACTTTCTCATTGCACTTTTAAGAAATATATTCAGCATATCATTCATTCATTTTCCCTTAAAAAAGAAGACAATTATGATTAATGTTCCTGTTTCATGTCATGTTGATTCAGAGGCATGATCCAAGCTCCTGCTCAGTCCCACCCCCAAGTCACTCGGTGACTCTGCACTGAGGCAACAGAGTTGATTAAAAGGATGTACTTTGGAGCCAAACTCTTCCTTCCAGCTTATCGGTTAAGTGGTCGTGTGTAACTAACTTAAAACTCTCGTGTGCCTGTCCCTGAAATAGAGGCAGAAGGTAGTAGACCTACTCTGTAGAGACAGTGTAGGGTCAAAGCAGACACCGTGTGCACCTCACCCTCTCCAGAGTGCTCAGCTCAGAGTTAGCTCTGACCAAATGCTTGTGTTTTATTTTCTTCCCCTTGCTTTTTCTGGGACAGGCTCCTGCTGTGCAGTTGAGACTGGCCTCAAACTGTGGCCCAGGCACCACTCCCAGGTAGCAGGGGCCACAGGTTAGGTTACCCTCTGGACGGACCAACACTTTGAAGATTGCCATGAGCATTTCTTCGCTTTCCCTGTCTGTAGAGCTGCTCCCTTGCCAACACTTTTCTGAGCTCTGACTTCTCACCTTCAGTACATCCTGTTTTTAACTTCTCAGTCCTCTCCTTGGTGTTTATTTCTGCCCTTTCTTTTTAACCCTAAGCATGGTTCTTGGATTTCCATAGCACTAACTTGCTGTTAGGTTCAGTTTCACCATCTCTGTCTTCTTGTTCCTCACTCCAGAACTTGCAGAGGCCCTTTAATTTCTCACACAAAAAATATGTCTATGAGCCTACCACTCCCCAAAACACCGCTGCAACCCATGCTCCCACCTTTGCAGCCACCCCCAGTCATTTCCAGCCAGGGTAGACTGCTCACCCTGTTCCGGACTGACAGGGCTTTCCCTGATGGTTACTTTCCCCTCTCTGCCAGGTCTTTGGGTGTGTGACTCTAAGACTAGGGTGAGCACTCAGTCTCTCAAGACTTAGGTGTGAATGAGCCCACTTTAGAGTAACTGCTTTTATATTTAATTTTTAAAAATTACCAGATGAATTGCGGTTGTAAAAAGAGCATGAGCACAATACAGAAAATGGAAGAGGAAAAGGACATTCATCATCAGCACGTAATGCACATTACCGTTAGGTTTCTAAAAATATGTGTGCATAGTATGTAGTGAGTATAGGCGTGTGTGTGACATGTGTGGAGGTCAGAATGATGTACACCTTTTGTTTGGAGGCAGCATCTCTTGTTTCTGTGGCTTCACTGATACTCAGGCTGCTGGCTATATAACTTTTATCTCTTTGCAACGTCCTTCAAAATGTTTAATTTATTTTGTTGTCATTTATATTGTGTGTATATGATACAAGCATGTGGGCGCATGTGTGCCACTGCACATGTGGAGGCCAGGAACAACTTCAGGGGATTGCGTGAACTATCGAGTGAGAACAGGACCGTGATAGGTTCTTATAATCTATTTTTTAAATCATTTTTTTGATAAATTTTAATTTAAATTTGAAACAAGTCCCAATTCTTGCACCTGTCTGTCCTCCCCTCTTCCCCTTACCAACCCCCATCCCATCCCCATTCTCCTCCCCAGGGAGGATGAGGCCTTCGATGGGGAGTCTTCAAAGTCTGTCACATCATTTGGAGCAGGAATTAGGCCCTCTCCCATGTGTCTAGGCTGAGAGAGTATCTCTGTATGTGGAATGGGCTCCCCAAGTCCATTTGTACACTAGGAATAAATACTGATCCACACCAGAGGCCTCATAGGCTGCCCAGGCCTTCAAACTGAGACCCAAGTTCAGGAGTCTAGTTCAGTCCTCTGCTGGTTTCCCAGCTATCAGACTGGGGTCCATGAGCTTCCCCTTGTTCAGGACAGCTGTTTCTGTGGGTTTCTCCAGCCTGGTCTTGACCCCTTTGCTCATCATTCCTCCCCTCTCTGCAACTGGGTTCTAGGAGTTAGGTTCAGTGTTTAGCTGTGGGTGTCTGCTTCTGCTTCCATCAGCTACTGAATGAGGGCTCTAGAATGGCATATAAGGTAGTCATCAATCTTATTATTGGGGAAGGGCATTTAAGGTAGCCTCTCCACTATTGCTTTAGATTGTTAGTTGGGGTCATCCTCATAGATCTCTGGACATTTCCCTAGTACCAGATTTCTCTTAAAACCTATTATGGCTCCCTCCTTTATGGTATCTCTTTTCTTGCTCTCCTCTAATCTTTCCCTGACTCAGGGGGAGAGGAGAGGGAGTTAGGAGGAAGAAGAGGGGAGAGGTGGGTATGAGAGGGTAGGAAGATTGAGTCAAGATAATCATTTTTTAAAATTTTTATTTTAGATTTATATTTATGCATGTTTTACCTGCATGTGTGTATGAGCTTGGTGCCTAAGGAGGTCAGAAGAGGCGGCATCAAATACTCTGAAGCTGGAGTTACACACAGTTGCAGTGCAGTTACTATGAGCCAAATCCCCGTCCTCTGCAAGAGCAACAAGTGTTCTTCACCACTGAGCCATCTCTCCAGCCTCAGATCAGTATTAGTAATAATAGAAAACAAAACAGAACAAAACAAAAACAAAAACACTCAAAAGTAAGAAACTGAAACCAAATGATCTTAGTGTGTGCACTGGGAATGGGATTTGGAGCTTTAAACATGTTAGACAGTGCATTTTCCCCTTAGCCCTTCCCAGTCTGCTTCCCATCAGGATTTGGAGCAGCTTCCAGCTAGGTATTGGGATCAATATATACACATTCACCCATATGCCTTGAGATAGAAAAAAAGGGGAAGAATCAAATTATAGGAAAAGTACAATGGCTATGACAGAAAGTGAGATTGCCGTTAAGTGGAAACCTTAGCTTTGAGCCTCTCACCCAAGGAAAAGAGACTATGAAGTAGAAGGTGAATGCTGGTGGATGATGTGACAGGGTTTCTATGCAGGCCTGTGTGTTATTTATGTTAGCCTCCTCTGTGTGTTAGTGTGGATTGTGTTCGCCTGTTCTTCCTTGCTTTCCTTTTCTAGCAGGGATGCTGCTTGTTGCTTACTCTTTGCTTACTCTTAAATTGTTTATTATATAGTGAATAACAAATCATGTCTACTAGAAGTCTCTATCACAGGCTGCAAGGTGGGAGCAGCTTTATATTCAGGAGCCAGTGCAAGTTCTTTGTGATCTGAGAATTTTAAGAATTTTAACTTCGCCTCTATCAGTGGAGGCTCACACCTTTAATTCCAGCACTTGGGAGGCAGAGGCAGGTGGATCTGTGGGTTCAAGGCCAGCCTGGTCTACAGAGTAAGTTCCAGAACAGAGAAACAAACGAATGAACAAAAGAACCTCATCTTTGACTACTAAATGAAAGGGGAAGGATTTGGCCCCACGGCAACAACTTTATGACTGAGCACATATGTAGTTGTTCAGAACAGAGTCAATCATGGTAGTTGCTTCCAGGATGTTTGGGATAATGTCATCTGCTCCTACATGTAAACATTTGAAGCTCCTCATCACCAAAGAGGGCATCACTGTGTGAATCCCCCTGGCTTTTCTTCTAATGGCATCCATGAATCTCTCTAACATGTTCTGGTCTTGTGTACATGATTTTGAGGTAAGCAAGTAGCTGGGGAGATAGCTCGGTGTTTTAAGGGGCTTGCTGTGCAAGCAGGAGGACCGAACTTTGATCCCCAGAACCCATGTAAAAATGATGGCCTTGGTGGTGCTTGCTTGTAATCTCAGTACTGGAGAGGCAGAGACGGGAGTACCCTGAGGCTTGCTGGCTAGCCCACTAGCTACCCTAAGCTACTTGGTGAGTTCCAGGCCAGTACTGTCTGAAAAAGAGCGTACACCTGAGGGATGCCAGCTGAGGTTGACCTCTGTCTCCCACGCACCCTCATACACACACACTCTACGTGGCAAAAGCTCTGAAGAACCAGCCAAGCAGTCTTAGGTGGTACCATTGCTTACTAATAATTGTTTGGGACCTGCCTTTCCCCTTCCTCCTAATAAAACCACTAAAGGATGAGTAGGAGGCTACAGAGGTGAGGTCTGCTTTGAAGTTTCAGGTGAAGAAATTGACAGTAACATTCAGAGGAATGCTGAGAATGAGATTTCCTTACTACTGAAGCAATTCCCAGTGACCTCTCTTAAATTTGCTCCACAGAGAAAGCAAAAGCCTCCAATGGCTGTGTGCTGGTACACTGCTTAGCCGGGATCTCTCGCTCCGCCACCATCGCTATCGCCTACATCATGAAGAGGATGGACATGTCCCTAGATGAGGCTTACAGGTAAGGACAGACATGCTTTTCATTTTCCCTGAAACAGGAAGAGCTAGGAAGGTGGGTGAACAGATGAGTGCAAACCAAGATGAGTTTGGTTGCAGGTTCCTGGTGACTCAGGGTGTTGCAGAGACGGAGAGAGTGGTTCTGCTTGTCTGCCATCCTCTCTCTAGTGTGGTGTCACCCTCGGCTACTTTTTAGTAATGCTAGACGAAGGGAGGTTATACCTCTCTCTCCCTTGCTAGGAAGCATGGCCTTTTTGATTGACAGGTGGAGAAAGTGTCTCTCACACATCGCCCATCAGAGCCTGCTCTGCATCTGTATAAAATCTGAATAAAGCTTCCTGTCCTGTCTAATTGGCCAGGTTTTACAGGTAGTAATTCTGACTAGGCTGCCTTCCCTTCTATCTCAATGGGAAAGGCAGAAAATGGCGGGACTGGCATCCTCATTGGTGACAAATGAGTCATGCCATGACAGCAAGAAGTAGTCGGTTTTCACATTAAAAATAACAAGAATATAGATGCACCATGTTGGCTTGTCCTAATATTTGGGTTTCTCAAACTATAGACTCTAGAATAGAGAAATGCCCTGCTTAGCCAGCCTGTGTGGCTGGACACTGGAGGGGACGGCTCCTCTCTTCTGCACTCACTTTTCACCAGTTAGGCCTCTGTCCCTGTCATTCTTCTGCCTGGGCTGACGCCAGGTGGGAAGACCCATACCCTCATATCACATTACAGTTTACTATGTGTGCTTTTCTGTCTTAGTGAATTTTTAATATAGTGGTCACAAAAATGGGCCCAGGTGTTAGACAGTGCAGACTGTGAGCACAGCCCCATCACTGAGTACCTTTGTTTACTTTGGGACAAGTGAGCCTCGGGACCCTGTGAACGGATCTAGATCCGCAGGGTACAGACTGAGTAAGGCAGTACAGCTGTGCAGTGTTTAGCACCCAGAGATCACTTTAGAACCAATTGTCCTGTCATTTTGAATCTAAAAAGAAATATAGATCGTAGTGCCCTGACACTTTGCCATCTGGTGCCGTCTCTGTGGGAAATGTCTTGAGACCTGAGGGTATTTGTTGAAAAGGGGATCTGGAATGACAACACTGCTGAGTGGCTTTGTGCTGGTGTATATGGCAAGGAGTGGAGCTGAGCAAATGGTCCTCTGTGACTGCATTGGCGCCTTGGCTTCTTAGACAGTAGGAACCAGCCAGTAGGAACCTGCAGGCTGCCTCTGGCACACACTGGCCCATGCCACAGCCCCCTCATAACGTGTTCACCCTGACCGGACATGTAAATGAATCTTCTTCCAAAACATTGGGAAGGTGTGTCATCCTGTCTCACTTTCTCTTATTGCCCTCAAGACAAAGTGCAATTGTAAAATTCAAGGGTTTTGCTTTGTCCTCTCTATAGATTTGTGAAAGAAAAAAGACCTACTATATCTCCAAACTTTAATTTTCTGGGCCAACTCATGGACTATGAGAAGATGATTAAGAAACAGACTGGAATGTCAGGGCCAAAGAGCAAACTCAAGCTGCTGCACCTGGACAAACCCAGCGAGCCTGCAGCCTCAGAGGGTGGACGGAAGAATGCACTGTCTCTCAGTCCCCCCTGTGGCAACTCTACCTCAGAGGCAGCAGGGCAAAGGCTTGTACATCCTGCCAGTGTGCCCAGCTTAGAGCCTTCACTCTTAGAGGACAGTCCACTGGCACAGGCATTCAGCGGGCTCCAGGTGTCCGCAGAGAAGTTGGAAGACAGCAATAAGCTCAAGCGTTCCTTCTCTCTTGATATCAAGTCTGTTTCGTATTCAGCCAGTGTGGCAGCGTCTTTACATGGCTTCTCATCAGAGGATGCTTTGGAATACTACAAACCTTCTGCCACTCTGGATGGGACCAACAAGCTGTGCCAGTTCTCTCCCGTTCAGGAGGTATCAGAGCAGACTCCAGAGACCAGCCCAGATAAGGAGGAGGCCCACATCCCCAAGCAAGCCCAACCCACCAGGCCTTCAGAGAGCCAGAGCAAGCGGTTGCACTCAGTGAGAACCAGCAGTAGTGGGGCCACCCAGAGGTCCTTCTTCTCCCCGCTGCATCGGAGTGGGAGTGTAGAGGACAATCACCACACCAACTTTCTTTTCGGCCTTTCTACCAGCCAGCAACACCTCACCAAGTCTGCTGCAGGGCATGGTCTCAAGGGCTGGCACTCGGATATTTTGGCTCCCCAGTCCTCTGCCCCCTCCCTGACCAATAGTTGGTATTTTGCCACAGAGCCTTCACACTTCTACTCTGCTTCAGCCGTCTATGGAGGCAACAGCAGTTACTCTGCCTACAGCTGTAGCCAGCTGCCCACTTGCAGTGACCAAGTCTATTCTGTTCGTAGGCGGCAGAAGCCCAGTGACAGAGCTGACTCGAGACGGAGCTGGCATGAAGAGAGCCCCTTTGAAAAGCAGTTTAAACGCAGAAGCTGCCAAATGGAATTTGGAGAGAGCATCATGTCCGAGAGTAGGTCGAGGGAAGAGCTAGGGAAAGTGGGCAGTCGGTCTAGCTTTTCAGGCAGCATGGAGATCATAGAGGTCTCCTGAGAAGACAGACCCGTGTAACTTCTGTTCATGTTTTGTTTTGTTTCTTGTTCACAAAAAATATTCCCTGTAAATCTGAAATATGTATATGTATATACATATATATTTTTGGAATATAGAGCTACGGTGTAAAAGCAAAAGATGGATCAACACAGTTCTCTCAACACCTGCCATGAGAGCAGCTAATTCTCTCAGAAAAGAGTGGAAGGGTAAATGTTAGAATTTCCCCCAGCCAGGAGAAGATACTTTGTTCAGTGAATCGCACATCTTGTTCCTACAAAAGCAACAGTTTTTGTTTTTGATGTTAGAGGAAAATTCCTTCCCATTTTCATGTGCAACAGAGATCTCCAGAACTCATCTCTGTCCAGGCCCTTCCCTGTGCACTTAGCACTGAGACTGAGCCAGCTGTGGGTCAGGTGGAAAGACCCTCTTAGGGACAGACCCTAGTGGTAAGTCCAAGAGAAATGATCCTGTCCAGTCCAAGCTTGATTGACAGCTGAAGGACATGGACATCATTCTGCTGGATGAACTATTAGGAGCCTTGCCCAGAGCTACTTATAACCAATCCAGTACCTCAGACAAGACATTTGGGGCCATCACCACTACCATGTCTAGGAGCCCATTTTCTAGGCATTGTGAATTAGTAAGTAACTTGTCTCTTTCCAGACAAATTCATACTGTCTATGCACAAAATCCCAGTGGGCCTGGATGAGCAGTTGCCATGTACCCTTCTTCTCAGCTTTAATGAAGAGGGGAAACCAACTAGAGTTCAGCATAGCTAGAGATTGGGCAGTCGGGTAGCTTAGAGACTTAAGCCAGGGATGGGACACTAAACAATCTCCTTCCCTCTGTATAAAAATTAAAGAATTACCTACAGAGGGATTGTTAATCCTTAAATTGACTTGGTTGAGAGGTAAATGTGAATCATTGGGCTTGGTAGTCGCGTGACAGCACCTTCAGGTTCTCAGCCAAAACATCCTTTTCAGTTCTGTTTCGTGACATGGAATAAAAAGAAACTAATAGGATTCGGAACAGGCAGATTTAAGCAGGAAACCTGTTTCCTTGGTTGCTTTTTTTCCTGTGGTATGCAACAAGGGTACTTTTTCTAGAATCATCTTAGACTTCCAAACTTAACATGGGCTTTGATAAGCAGGAGCTACTCAGAGTAAAACATGCTAGAAAGTTTACAAAGGGGTTGTTGAATTTTGTTTAGTTGTGCATACAGGGAAGTGCTTTTTAAAGCTGTCCCAGCGTGCTTTCCGAGGAAGGGACATGTCAGAGTGGAGGACCACAGTGGCTTCTCAGTCCCTGGCATACAATCACTGTGTGGATGCAATCCTGGCAGCTGAGAATAGAAAGTGGTAAGAACAAGTGTGTACACGACAGCACATGTCTGCCTTTAAACTCCCTGGCCTGAGTGTCACCCTCTAGAGTACAGTCCTTGAGGCCTTAATTTACGTTGGCAGGGTGTGGGTAGGGGCAGGTATGGCCATTGTTCTTTACTGTAAGTGTAGCTGGGGCTGACTCGTATCTCAGGTGTTTCTATGTTTGTGAAATGGACGGTCTTTTGACTAGGATGTGACTTAATGTTCCCTAGAGTGATGCTAAGACCAGCATGGGATGACATGGTTCGAAGCTGGTGGGCTGGATCATGAGGATGAGGAGCCTCATGGGCACACTGGTCCTGCACGGATAAGCTGTGTCTGGGCATAAGATGAAGACAGAACAGACACTGCACAGGGGGCAGGCTGCCTCCCTGGGGAGGTTCTCTGTTCAGCAATCTGGGGTTTTGATATATATTAAAATCTTATGTAATCAAAATTTTTCAAAGCTTCACAGTAAATTTGGGTAAACACACTAAATGTGTAAGAATCCACCCTCTTGTCACACTGGTAAGACATAATGTAAAAATGAAAGCAGTAGCTCCATCATTAAGTATGTTCCAGGAGGATCAGGGGATTTGGCTTCAGTATCTTTGGGCGGTGTGCTGCCTGTGCTGTATGTCATGTAGGGCTCTCTGGACCGTGTCCCTTCTCTGTAGCTGTTAGCCCTACTCTACAGCTGTCAGTCTTCATCACTGATGCCATATTAGCAGTTCTTGGGATTACAACTGCACACGCTAAAAGGGCTGACCCTGAGGCACGCTGTGGGTGGTATGCTGGTTGGCTCTCCTCGTTTGAGCACAGGGCAGCCTGGGGTTTTCTGCAGTGATGCAAAGCAGTGATTTAATGAGCAAAACTAGACTGAGAAATGCTGGAAACCGTTTAGACCATTTGTAAAGTTAGAGTGGAAAGACTGTATAAATGTTTAATATGAATATAGTGGTCTTTGGAGTAAGGCAAGCTATTGAATGGTTCAGTTGTGCATTTCTCATTTTGTTGCGTCATTTATGTTAATATGATGAAATAAAATCAAAACTGGTACCTGTTTATACGGAAGTGTGAGAAGCAACCTCTCCTTGTAGCTCTTACCTGGATGGGAGCCACCCTATCTAAGTTGCAAAAGTAGGGAGTCACAGAGCCATGAACGAGAGTTTAGCCATTTCAGCTGAAGTGTCAGGTGATACATCACATGTTCATTCACATAGAACAGTGGTGGATGCAGGCCTGCATTCCCTATGCCTAGTGTACACTGAAGAAACCTTCCTAGCCACCTGACTTCAGGGTATACATGTACAGCACAGAAAGGAAATGCTAGCTGCCTGCATATACACCTTCCACAAATATGATTCCATAGTCCGTGCAGGAAAAACTGAGGAAGGGTAGTCTTAAACACTGTCCTCCGAAACTGGAATGAGGCTGGGGTGGTAGAGTGCTCACCTCGCATTCATAAGGTGCTGAATCTGATCCCTAGCTCCATGTAAAGCAGACGTGGTAAACAATGAACAGCCCAGCACTTGGAGTGTGAAGGTAGGGACTTCAGGAGTTATGGTTATCCTTGGCTATAAAAATCTGTTCTCCTCAATACTTCTACTTAGATATTTGACCATAGGAAATGCTTACTATATAACAAATATCATATTAGCCTCACCAGTTTAATCAAAAGTACACTAAAGGGATGAAATGCTGTCAGGAAAAGGTAGACAGAATGGGCATAAAGAAAATCATTAGCCAGTGAGATGCCTCAGTGGGTAAAAGGTGTTTGTCATGTAAACGTGGCAACCTGATTTCAAGATTCCCCAGAACCCATGTCAAGATGAAAGAAGAGAACTAATTCCACAGTCCTGTGAAACACACACACACACACACACACACACACACACACACACACACACACACACACACACACACACACACGGAGGCAGGAACACAGGGCCAAGCCAGTCAGGACTACTGTAGCTGGAAATGTAGCTCAGTGGCAGAGTGCTTAGCTAGCATGTGCAAGGCCCTGGGTTTGATTCCCTAGCACTGGAACCAAAGAAACCATAAAACTCAAAGAAAATGGGAAAAAATGGAACCACTCCTCTGATCCAGCCGATGGTGTTCCCAAAACTCATTTCATCAAGTATTTACTCTGCAGACAACACGGTATATTTTATATTCTGAGGAGTTAACTTCTAAAAGGTAAGAAATATGCATGCATATGTGTACATGTATGTATATATGATTACTAATGATACAATTTTGAGGAAAACGTATCTTAGGGTTGAGTTGCTGTGATAAAACATGACCAAAAGCAACTTGGAGAGGAAAGGGTTTATTTGGCTTATAGTTCCACATCACAGGCCATCATGGAAAGAAGTCAGGGTAGCAGTGCAAACAGGGCAGGAACCTGAGGCAGGAGCTGACGCAGAGGCCATGGATGGAGGGTGCCTCTTAATGGCTTGCTACCCACAGCCTGCTCTTAGAGAACCCAGGATTACCATCCCAGGAGTGGCATCCCCCCAGGAGCTGGTGTCTCCCACATCAATCCAGAAAATGCACTTCAGACTTGCCCCATGGGCTAATCTAACTTCTCAATTGAAGTTCCTTCACAGTTGACTCTGGCTTGTGTCAAGTTGACTTAAAAGTAGCCGGTGAATCATAAAATCTACAACAATGCCATAAGCTTTTAATCTGCTTTGTGTGTGTGTGTGGGGGGGTGTTTTGTTTTTCTTTTAGATAGCAGATTCACTGTAGTCTAGGTTGCCCTTGAGTTTGTAGTGATCCACCTGCTTCAGCCTTGCAAGCCCTGAGACAGTGTACACCACCAGATATCATGAATACATGCTTCAATGCCACTAAGCTGTTAACACCTGCACCTCTAATGAGATGAAGGCCAGTTGCCCTTCACTGTAGTAAAGAACCTGCAGTCAGTGCTTTATTTGTCCCTAAATACAGATAAATAAGCACATCACAGGGAAGCCAAACAGGTTCCCAGAGGCAGGGTGGACCTCTGGGAGGGGGGTACACCTAGGGGCCTCATCGCTTAAAGATGCTCTCCAAGTGCTGGGTGTGGTGGCACCTGTCTGTTATCCTAGCACTTGGAAAAAGACTGGAGCATCAGAAAGTCATGATCCTTAGCTACATAGCGAGGTCAAGGCTAGCAGCCTGGCTTCTATGAAACCCTATCTCAAACCAAATGACTATCACAAACTTCACAGCAGATGGGAAACTCAAGATTGTTCTCTTGCTTGCCAGTGACCTGATTGCCCTTCCACCAGGCCCCATCTCCTAGGTCCCACCTCTTCCCAACAGCACCGTTTTCTGGGGACTGGACCTTTCATATTCATGGACCTTTGAGGGACATTAGCTCCCAACTGTAGTACTGAGGGATACAAAAATGTCTCACTAAAAATCAAGGACAGAAACTTCCATCCAGGGCTCTGTGGTAACTCCAGGCTATTACTCCACTTCTACAGCAACCTGTACTGGCCAGATAGGCCATAGGATGCTAGCCCACCAAGAGACAGCATAAGGATGTTTGGTACGGTGCTCAGCTTCCCTCCCAGACTCCCTTGGAAAAGGACCAAGAAGCTCTCGGCACCTCCTCGCTGGGAGCTTTCATCCATGGGCATGAGTGCTCCAGGGCAGCTGACAGTAACCTGGGCACAGCACATACCAGTTAGCTGTGTACAAGATGGAACCAGGCCCGACCTGAGCCAACTTTCAGCACCCTCTTCATCCAAATCTCACTGGAACTTCGCTGGTGGCCAACCCCACCCTGAAGGAGAAACTGAAGAGCTTCTGGGAAATGGTTGGGCTTAGCAGAGCTCAACACCACCTCACCCATCTCATAGCAACACCTAAACTAGGAGAATCACCAGCACCTGCTCTGGCCACACCCTAATTTCCTGAAGAAAGAGGGCCAGCTGTTTTTTTCATCCTCAACCCTTCTGCCATGAAATGAAGAAACGGCAGGAGAGGCCTCAGGGGCTGAATCTGAATAGTATTTCAAGCACTCACTAAGCAAGGTTAAGTTGATGGGGGCAATGGAAGCCTGCACTGTGTACACAGCTCTGTGGACAATCAGCCCATCTTTCTTTGAAGGGTTATGAGCCTGTCTCTGTGTATAGAGCTGGGTTCTAAATATTCCAGAATCTCAGGGAAAGACGATGGTGATAGCTTAAAAACTGCCCCCAGTCTAGGTGGAGAAATGAATACCCACTGCATTACTGTTCAACTTATCTGAAACTTAGAAAAAAGGAAAAACTCTTTCTGAGGGTAAATGGGCCTCATCTAGCTACATCACATATTAAATTTGTGGAAATAATATTAAAGCAGTATGAAAAATCAAAAATGGAATGAAACACTGGGAAGAAAAGATTAATGAATCTACTCAGTTTGGAACTAAACTCAATTATCTGACAACTGGACGCACACATGAGACAGAAGGGTGGCGCACCATCAACACTGGGGAGCATGCTCTAGAACCTTTACAGAACCTTCACAGGACATCTGTTTTAAATCTGCCTCCCCGGGAATTGCTCTAGAAATGGGTAAAGTTCCAGTCATGAGATAAAAACGTAAGGACCACCTTCACCGGGGCCCGACACAGGGAAGACCCAGCCCTGCTCCCAGCTTGCTACTGCAGCTCCCAGCTACTTCCACTTGGGGAATGAAGGCATCTGCTCAGTAAGACAGGCAGAGCATGACCAAAAGGCTGCCTGGAAAGTGGCAGGTCCGGCCTGGGTTCTCCCCAAAGAAACGGACAACCTGTGTATTTAGTCATCTGGAACATACTAGGACATTAGGGATGGTGAAATGGTACCTGTAGCCTCAGCACTCAACGTTGAGGCAGGAAGTGGCTACAAGGTCACCTTGGCCTAGTAGCAAATCCCTGGCGAGCCAGAAGTACACAGTCAGACCTGTTTCAACTCCCAACACCCACAAAAAGAAATTCCTAAACATTATCATTTTCCCCTATTTCTGATTTAATCATTTTTTTCTTTCTTGAGTTTAAATACACTTCCTCTGCCATCCAACTGTCTTATAGCCTACTTTTATTTGAGGTTTTGAAAATGCTATAAACTAGTATCTCATTAAAACCAGGATTTTGTGGCTCAGTGGGCAGAGATACTTGTCACGCAAGCTAGAGACCTGATCAGTCCCCAGAACCCACATCAGGGCAGAAAGAGAGAAGCAACTCCATCCACACCGCTGTGTTCTGACCCCCAAGCATGCACTGTATGGCAGTCCTACTCATATCACACATCACATATGCAATAACAATAATAAATAAAATGTAAAACTAGGGTTAGAACCACATCAAGTTTAGCTGCTACACAATAAATTAAGCAGATTAATTTTAATCTTATAAAACACTGAAGGCTACTCTGGCTCCTGATAAATCACTTCTAGGTTCTGAAAGAGGGAACCAGGTGGAGGCTGCGAGGTCCCAGTGTGATGTCTTCAGACTCCAGCTCTCATCTTCAGCCCTGTTCCCTGCAATCCCCCCCCCCCAGGGCCTTGAATTCCTGTGATGGGCAGCAGCTTTTTCCCAGTTTTATGATCCACACGTGACGATGGAAGACAGAGGCTACGTCACCTCTTCGTGTCCCTGGCACATCAGTGGTGCTCGGTAGAACTCCAGTGAGTCGAGAATGACCACCATTCCAAGATAGGCTCAGATGTTGGTGTGAACCTTGTCATGGAGGCTGAGGTCTGCCCAAGCTGGCAGAGGCTGAACTCTGTAGGGGAAAGCAGAGTGAGGGAAGGGAATCTTCAGTTTCCAGTGACCCACAAAAGGGGCCTGGTACCTGGAAACAGGCAGTGTTCCTGCAGGGAAGGGAGACACTGCCAGATACCTCCTTGATGTGATGGCGCTTTCGTGGGACAATAACCACTCAGTAAGATCTTATATTTTCAACCACAACCCAGAGAGCCTGAGCCGAGTACAGTGCCAAGGAGAACACGGTTTCTTTAATGTTTTCTCCAGTTTCGTTGCAGGAGCTACTTACTCTATATAACTTTTAATTTAAAAAAATCTGAGCAAAATAAAAATAGCTCTTGATGCAAAGTTCTTTAAAGAATTCACAGGAATTCAACTGTCCCAACTTCGGTTATTAAGAATGATGGTTGCGGGAAAGTCCGTGTAGGTCAAATGTATCTAAGCAAACATCAGGGCCCAGGCGGCTGCTGGTGGAGCTGCTTCCCCCGGGAGGCGGGTGCCTGCCTGCTAATGCCGCTCACGCTCAGGCCGCATGCTGAAGGGCTCCAGGCGCTCGGCCTCCGGCAGCATGCTGTTAAGCCTCTCCATCAGTGGCACCGTCTGGTCAATGCCCATCTGAATGCGGCGCAGTATAGCCGACATCTCATTCACCTTCTGGATCTGCTCCGCATACTTAGCGTATCTTTTCTGGCGCTCCTGCATGAAGCAAAAGAGGGTCTCCACGGACAGATCCATCTGTAGGAGGCAAACAGAAGCAAAATGATAATAATAAATAATAATAATAATACTCTGCTTACCAGAGTCTAGAGAAGTGCTTCTCAACCTGTGGGTCACGACCCTTTCTCAGGGACCGCATATCATATTCTACATATCAGATATTTACATTATGATTCATAACTAGCAAAACTTCAGTTATGATGTAGAAGCAAAAATGATTTTATGATTGGGTCACCACAGCATGAAGAACTGTATTAAAGGGTCGCAGCATTAGGAAGTTTAAGAACCACTGATCTAGCACTTAACAGTGAGCCAGTAAGGGCTGTGTGTTTTCAATACCTCCTGTGCCATTCTGTGTGTAGCTGAGTGGGGACATGGATGTGACTGGCTGCTTATGTTATCTGAGTACGAATGAGCATGCGCTGACCAGGCCATGGGTGTTTTCTATCTATTATAGTGTTGGGGATACCACCACACTGGCTGAAGTGTTGTTCTATGGGCCAGCAACATGGCTTGGGGTGAGGCCCTAAGTTGCATTCCCCCAGAAGGTGAGAACTAATGCCTTCAAGTTGCCCTCTGACCTCCAGAGGCACTGTCTGGCCGTTTTATACACACATGAGCCTGTGTACACACGGAGTAGATAAAATGTAATTATTGGCAAAAAAGAAATGTTACTGTGCAGTTTTCTTCTTGGCAGAGAAAGGGACAGAAGGCATAAATATTAGTAGCTCACTTGACAAAGCCAGCCAACTCCTCTAGATGATGTCTATATCAGGATTCTTGTTTTGTTTTAAATTTACTTAATGTGTGCATCGGAATGTATTCACATGGGTGCCTGTGTGCCATGCTGCACTTGGGGAGACCAGAGGACAACTTGGAGGGTATAGGTTCTCTTCTTTTGGGTCTCTGGGATCAAATTTGGGGGACCAGATTCAGGTTAGAAGGCTTGGCTGCAAGCACCTTTACCTACTCAGCCATCTCACTGGCCCCAGGGTTCTCTCACAGAGAGAAGGCTCAACAGGGAATGAGTAACACACACTTCAGACATCCCAGGACAGGTCTCAACAGTCCCCAAGATAGCTACTGCCTCTGACACTCGTCAGCTACGGTTAGAATTATGCCTGGATGCCCAGCCCTCCCAGCAATTCTCAACCTTCCCAATACTGTGACCCTCTAATACAGGTTTTCATGTGGTGACCCCAACCATAAAATTGTTTTTGTTACTACTTTATAACTGTAATTTTGCTACTGTTGTGAAATGTAATGTAAGTAATTGTTTTTTTCTGATGGTCTTGGGTGACTCCTGTGTTGAGAACCACAGTGCTAGATGCTTTGCTCCTGTTTACAGAGAACTCTCTTTAAAAAAGAAAGGACTGGGCTCATGGCACACACCTTTAATCTGAGCACTTGGGAGGCAAAGGCAGGCAGATCTCTGAGTTTGAGGTCAGCCTTGTCTACAGAATAAGTTCCAGGACAGCCAGGGCTACACAGAGAAACCCTGTCTCAAAAAAACAAAAAATAACTGGGGGTGGAGGGAGAGGGAGGGAAAAGTTAATTGCAAAACAGAATGAACTGGGTCCTTGGGAGGCTTTGTCATCACAGGAAAGGACAGTCCCATGCCTGTCACTGCCCACTTAGACCACCAAATGGGACAAGAGGAAGGGATGGTTATTGGTTAAGAGCATTTGCCAGTCTTGCAGAGAGCTAGGGTTCGGATCCCAGCACCCACACGATGGCTCACAACCACCTACAACTCCCATTCCAGGGGATTCAAAACCTTCTTCTGACCCCTAAGGGCTCCTGCACTCGTGTGAAGCACACAGAAAAACTCAGTCATACACAAAATGAAACAAATCTTTATTAATAAAGTTTCAAAGGGAACATTTTAAACTAACAGGAAAAAGCTTGAGAAATATATATAAAGAGAATTTTTTGCATGGCAGTACAATGTGCATCTTAAGTATAATTACAGAAAAAGTGTAGCCAAGTACTTATCTTTAATTGGGAGTTTCAGACCAAACAGGGCTACATGGTGAGACCCTGTCTCCAAACAACAAACAAAGCAAACAACAAAACCCTTAGAACTTTATAAAGTAAAACCCTCCAGTAAGCGACGATCACTGTATTGAGTAAACTTTTTATATAAAGGCAGTACATGTCCAGTGTCTAGTCAGGGTAGACAGAGCAGTTTCTGCAGACATGCACCCCACTAGAATTCACTCACTGACACTGCCCATCCTGAAAGCTGCACTCATGTTCCTAGATGGGCATCTCATTCTCTGTCTCTTATATTGTACTTTTTATGTTTGGTTCTGTTGAAGTAAACAGATCCTAACCACTGTGTCACTAGAATATGCTGTCCAGGCTATGGCCTAGGACTAACTGGCACTGTCCCACAGCCTGAGTGTGTAGTGGCTAGTGGCTCTACCACAAAGCTGTGCGTGCTCGTACTTCACACACCACGAGGAAATTACCTTACACAGTTCTCAGATCTTCCATCTGTCATTAAAGAACACACACGGCGGTAATCCAGAGTTGTGGTAAGGACAGAATAGCACACACAGATACCTAACACACGATTCACAGCACAGAGATTTTTCAAAACCCAGTTTTCATCTTCATCTTTCTTCCTCCCAGAATGGCTTTGGTGAAGCTGTGATCAGTCAGGGAGAAGCTAGAGGAAGGCACAGTTCCCAGGCCATGACACCAAGTGCCAACTGTAACTCCAGTTCCCCCCCCCCCGCCCTCCCCCCAGGACCAGAGCATCACATCAGCCCCTGAGCACTGCCCAGCACACGATCTGTCACTGCTGAAGATAAGGGAGGCCATCTCCTGTGTTTTGCATGCCTGCACCCCTCTGCGAGGTCCCCACATCTACCCACACCCCCTTTCCTGACCAGACACTTGATCTGTCAAGACTCTCATCTCACCCCAAGCTTCTAAACACTACAGTCATCCCCCTGCCTCCACCTCCCCAGTGGCTCCCTTCCTGGCTCCAGCACAGAGCACAGAATGTCTTACCACATGGAGCCCCTGAGGAAGATTTCAGCAGAAGTAGGGTCAATGCCAGGCCTGCAGAAAGCCAACCTACTTTCACACAGTGAAGGGGGTGCAGACAGAGTTAGTCCTTCCTGCCTCAGCTGGTCTTTAAATGCTCAGGAGACAAAGAGGAGCTGTGGGGTGGAGCAGGACAAAACCCCAGATTCATCTGGGTGAGAACTCTGTGAAAGACCATTGGAGGGTCTGCCTATGAACGATGACTCAGCTCTGAGGAAGCGGTGGGCCAGTTGCTCAGTGCTCCTGTGGGCTGGCTTCTGGGCCTGCTAAGATGCCCCAGAATAAATCTCTTGGGCGAGGGTAGTGGGAGTGGGAAGGTACAGCCAGCACGGCTCACTCAACTGCTCATACTCTGGAACCTTCTCCAGCCATTACATTGTACCTTGCTGGGAGATCCCCTGCTGCCCATCCTTGACTCAAGCACAGGGACAGGGAAGACATATGAAGTCAGATGTAGGAGTCTATCTGAACTGACCTCCCAGGCTTCCATGGGCCATGGCTAAGTGCCTGACAATCAACTCATTAACGGTTTTTACAGCTGTCTTATGAAGCGTTTGTTCAGCTGCACACTGCCCTGCACAGCCCCATATCCAGCTGGGAATGCAGATCCTGCCTAGCAGAGGTGGCACTCCTTGGCGTGAACAATGCACACACCATTCCATAGTCAGCGACTCTCAGAACATGCCATGTGCCATGCTGGGCTCCCAAGGACAGAGACACTCAAATCACAAACTCCTGTCCACATCATTTGCTGTGCCTTTCCACTTTCTGTTAACATGATTTTACTGTTCCAGGAAACACAGGCAGGCCAGAAAAAGACAAGTTGCAAGTAACTGGGTTACGGGAACTTCTAGAAGAAACCCCAACTATTTAAACAAACAATTTGATTTTCCAATAAACAGTGAATAACTGTTTATCCTCCACAACTCCTGCTGTGTTCTTGGTGCTGCCATCCCTGCTGTGCCTGGGTTCTGGTCTGTTCAGTCAGTCATGGCAGCCTCTGGGAAGGTTCCTCAGTTGTCAGCTGGTAGTGAGCTGCTCGCTGTCTGCTTAGTTCCCTCCTCTCCACTGCAGCTGAGGGAGAATGTGTAAGTCATGCCCATGGCTTGACAGGGAAGAAAACTACAAGAAGCCCAAGCCATGGGACTTCTGTGGGTGAGAGCCACCCTGCCAGGCCAGGGAGATGCCGTCTGTGGTTTTTGCATAAGCTTCTGCAATGTGGGGGTCTGTGGCACTGTCACAGTAAAGAGGCAGTGCTGCCCTCAAGGTCTCACCATTCAGTTACCCTCTTCAAGCCTCGCCCTCCACCTCCACACATGGTCTCTGACAGCAGAATGTTTCAAAAGACCTCTACGCACATGCGCGGTATATGCGTACCCCACACACAATAAATACATATAAAAAGAAAAAGGCAAGCCACACACAAAGCATTCACAACACATGTATTTGTGAGATACATGTCCAGAAAAACAATTAGTATTGGCAGTTAGTGGAAAATCCATCAGGACAGCAGGGACATCCTGAGACCTGGGTGAGTCACAGTGGAGCCTGAGCAGAGCAGCCTGGAGGAAAGGACAAAGCTAGCGCTACAATTCCTGACTCTAAGATGTACTCTGAAACTACAGAAGTCAAAACAGACACGCTGACCAAGTGACAAAACACAGCCCAGAAATAAAATCCACATGTTTACAGCACTAAGAACACACATTAAAAAAGAATAGTCAGCCTAGATGTCCATCAAAAGATGAATGGTAAAATGTAGGACATACATTTTATTCAGCTCAGCTATAAGAATGAGTAAAAGGGGGCTGGAGAGATGGCCCAGTGGTTGGGAGCACTGGCTGCTCTTCCAGAGGACCTGAGTTCAATTCCCAGCACCCACATGGTGCCTCACAGCCATCTGTAATGGGGTCTAATACCCTCTTCTGTGTGCATGTAGGCAGAACACTGTGTGCATAATA